TACCGGGATTTTCCAGCGACCTCCCCTTCAAACTTGAAACTGGGTTGGTATATTTGAACTTCAACTTCTATACTCTATAACTACATTTTTAGTCTTGCCTTGTGCGCTAGACTATATATCTGATGGTAATTGATCCTCTTTAAGTACATTTATTATATACTTTGGTCAGATTGATCAGCTACCAAATGGGTACAGGAGGCATATTTCGTAATTAGTTTCGGTTCGTGAGGTGCGGTTGTTTTTATTTGTTATGCTTCTGCAGGTAATGAAGAAGGGGATGAGCCACCAATGAATCTCAAAGTACATGTTATCAGCTGCACAGACATATGAATTTCTTAGAAAGGTGAGGAGGATACACTTGCCTACAAGGTTAATGCATATAGCAGATGGACAAATAAAGCAAAAATTTAGTCTCATAAGGTATTGATTTTAATTTACTTTTATTTTTCTGTTGTGTTGTAGTTAATTAATTCCTGATTATATGCCTGTGGGCCTAATGTAGGGATATGTGCTTGGCAATCCTGTGACAGATTATATTTGGGCATGATAGACATAACACATGTGATAAAGTGATGGGAAATGATGACACCCACCTAAAATATCTCTCCAACATGCTCAATGATCTCTACTGTGATTGGATGTGGCAAGATCACGTGTGCCTAACAAGTTTGTTAAGGAAATCATTTATACTCACCAAACATTCTCTCCAGTCACTTCGCATTAGTACTTAAAAAAATAACGATATTGTACTTGGTAAAAAACGTAGCCTGTTAATCCTAGTGTACGTACTGTTACAGCTCCAACCTCACCATGTTTCCGCAAGCACTTCTTCTGCTCCTCCTTCTTCATTGTTGTCACATCGTTGCTTCATCTTATAAGCCTTTCAATTTGGTGCAATAGGCAGCAATTGACAATTGATCTTGTGTCAAAGATGAAATCTCCCATTGAAGTTGGAAGATATGACGAGCATTGCTTTGAGAGAACCGTTCACGAAGATCTTCCCAAATTTCTCAAGCTATGTGGTGCAGTAATTACACTATCGTTGATTTCGGGATCAAATGTGTTGACAATCTAGGAGAAGACTGAAGGGGTGGGAATGATGTTGTGTATAGATTTCTAAAAACTCTACAACCAAACTTTGAGAGTATAAATCACCTAGCATGTCATATCTAATATGAAATCAAAGTAAGAGCTGAAGCATTAAATAAACTAGGGATTCAATGCAAGTCTCATTTGGTCCCAATGTTTATAAGTCTATGAAAGTGTGCACTAAAGACTCTCTAAATCCTATTTGAGAGAAAGATAAGATGTTCATACTCTTGGAGCGAATCTTGAAACCAAGAATGATGTTTAAGTAGAGGGAGTGGTCCCTTTATTGTTGACTCTCCCTTTGATGTTGGTTCTCCACCTTGTAGCTCTCCAAATAGGTACAAATATATTCCTATGCAAAAAGTTGGAAAGAATACTGGACGGGTGATACATTATCAAGTACTCAGACCTATGAATTTCTAAGGAAGGTGAAAATTTGGCAAAGTAATTTACATTGTTAAATCTCTGTGAGAATCCTTATTCTTAAAAGTGTTAATATTTTATTTTGGTAAGTATTAAAATTATAAATTATAAATTATAAATTATTTTATGGAAGTCTATGTTTTATTTGCTTCACTTAATGCAAATTTAATAATTTTGATTATATATATAGTTGTTTGACCATTTTAATAATTATATATATATTATTATATTAAAAATGTAGAGAAGACACAAACGTCCTAGCTTGCTGCATGCATAGCTTGTTATAGTATATATTTTATTATATTAATTATATAGGAAGCATGAGGTGGATAACTTAAGCTTGAGGTGGCACCATTTCTTAGTTGCTTAAGGGACGTGTAAACATATAAGATTGTTGCATTGCTATCCAAGTGCTAGCTGGCTTTACTTCATCAAAATAT